TCTGGGGCCTAATGTTGGGGATATAACTATTAGGTGTGACCCTCCCAGGAGGGGCCGGGTTACACCTATGGCGAGTCAAGACATGAAGCCCAGAACGACACTTGAAGATGGCGGTTCAGTTGAGGGCCTAAGCCCAAAGGTGATTCAAGGCCTGTAGAGATAAAACGCCATGTGTATGTAACTTGTATTGTAAGGCAAAAATAGAGAGAGACCGAGCCGGACACTGTTTATGAGCCGGCCGGGACTCTGTGAGCCGCTGGGCATCGACCTTTATATATAAAGGGATGACCCGGCGGCGGTTCAGGGTAAGTAACATCAAATCGAGAGCTAGGTCAAGCGGATTCGCTCCCTGGTTATCGAGACATAAGCAATCCCACTCAAAACTGGATCGTAGGCTTTTACCTTCACCGCAAGGGGCCGAACCAGTATAAACCCTGTGTCCTTTGTCCCGATTAATCCCTTTAAGCTTCCTAGTTGCGATGGCTCCACGACTAAGTCCTTTCACTAGGACATCTGACGTGACAATTCCATGACAGGCGCCCTGGACGTGCATCCCCTGCTAGCTTTCGAACACCGTAGCAAAACAAGTACCCGTGCCCTACCCAACTACACCACTCTGCCATAAATCCTGACCACAGTTGGGGGCGTGCTACCAGAGAAAAGGCTCAACCGCATCAGAGGGAGAGATGTGCTAAATTAACCATAAGTTGGAGGGATTGGAGCAGTTCGCGTCGTTCGAACCCTAGGAACCATCCTCCTCACATTCCGGCAAAATCCGCGACCCAGCGAGACGGAGACAGGAAGGACAAGCAAGGAGAAGCAGAACATACCTTCGACGTCGACGAGCACCAACGATTCCCTCCGTGCAGAGCCACCCGTGAGCCCCCCGCCGACTTGAGGACTCCGCCATGCCTCCCCCGTATCGCGGCTTGTTCGGTTGAGAGGCATCATGTTCAAACATGAACCTTTCGCTCGTTGGGGACGGTTTATAAATCATCAAATTCCCACAAATGGAATGAGAAGTGGGTCCATGTAAATGATCGAGACCTCGCAAACAACAATGTTCCTTCCCCATATGGAGTTCGGGACCCAGGGCAATCGTTGAGTGGACTGTATCTTATTCGTATTAGTTGACCTAAGCCGCACCATTATTGCAGGGGTGGGGCTCGGCCTCCGAACCGTACGTGAGACGATTTTCTGCCTCATACAGCTCAGGCCGAAGACCGGGGAAGTTGAGGAGAGATGGGGAGACCCAACTTCTGCCTGTCGGGACGGACAGGAAAGGGGGCGGGGATAAGCTTGTGAAGAAGCAATCTTATTGCCCCGAGGATGAAGACTGAATCAGGAGAATGGGGAGAGAGCACTGACGTGAGTGATTTCAGGCACAGATTTCGAAACCGCCGCCCACGACCCTCTCTCATTCCTCCTCTATGGCTTACATGTGGGCCTCCCCACGTCCGGATATGGACAAACTGTCCACAACAGCGACGAGGGGCCAATCCAGACCAGGTGGCACCTGGCGCACCCGAGTGCGATCGCTCGCGCGATCGTGCGGCCAGGAAGCGGCCGCCCGGTTCGTTTAGTTAGTGTGCGTGCACTTTGAAGGATTTAGGAAATCTCATATCAGTACGTTGATCAACCTGATATTAGTATGTCAATCAATCCAATATGACGACTTTACGAGAGTTGCTCTAGATCCATTATTGATTCTTAGGCCAACTCCACCGCGCGACCCTATCCTGTCCGCCCCGTCCGTTTGGGGTAAAAGGGACAAAAGAGGCGGCCCAGCGCGCGGCCTCAAACAGACAAATGTCCAGATTCGGTCCGTTTTCGACCCATCCCCGGCCCAAACTTGCGCTCGGTTTGGGGTGAAACGGACAGCGCGCGGACGGGCGGGGCGCGCGCGCTTGTCCTCCCCTGGCCCGCCCGTCGGTGGGAGAAACCAAAACCCCCCCCACGCCCATTTGGCGCCATTTGTCCCAAACCCTCCCACGTCCCTCCCGCCGCCCCCTCTCTCCCCCGTCCATGGTCGACGCCCCGCCGGGTTCCGCCGGCCTGGCCGCCGACCTGCCCGCAAAGGTGAAGAAGAAGGCGGCAAGGAAGCCGCGGTCGAAGTGCACGCCGGAGGAGATCGCCAAGTTGGACGCGGAATCGGCGAAGAGGAGGGAACGGAGTGCGGTCGTCAAGGTCAATGCCGCCGCGGCCAAGTTCGCCGCCCAGCGCGAGGAGCTGGAGGCCGCGCGGCGCAAGGCCGCTGCCGACGAGAAGGAGGACCTCGGCAACAAAGCGCACGCCATCCTCATGCTTGGCATGGGCCGTCCTGCCGGGTTCCCTGCAGCAGTCGTCGGTCCGGCAAGCATAGGCTCATCGGTCGCCCGGCCTACGCACTGCCAGTCGCCAACGTCGTGCACCGCGCCCATGTCGCCCTGCTTCCCTCCGCCAAGGCACGATGGCCAAACCCGTTTCTCGGGGTCGCCCGACGTGGGCGCGTTCGCGCCGTCCATAACGCGCCCCGCGGCCGTCATCGACCTGAACGTCACGCCTGGGTCCAGCAGCGGCGGGCGGCCGTCCGTCGAGATGCTAAGAAAGCAGGCACGGGCACCGTTCACGGGCACCATGCCGGCCCCCCGCGTCTTGTTTGATGAAATGCCAACCCCAACGCCAACGGTCGACGACCCCTTCTACAACCGCTACATGAAGGACGTGATCTTCGACGGTGGGCATGGTCGTGCCTACGACCCCGATGAGACCCAAAGTTAGGATGGCCGCGCCGAGTACGTCCCCGATGAAGGCGGGCACGACCGTGCTGACTACGATCATGGTGACTCGTGGCATGAAGACGATGACATCTATGTCGAAGGTAATGAAGAAGAAGAAGAAAGCAATGACGTTGATATTAGTGGTGCGCCATTGTTCATCGACGAGCTCACCCAAAGAGCGGAGGCACAAAAGAAGAGGAAGAGCATTCGCACGGGTTCATATACACAAGATGAGGACAAGTTGATTTGCCAAGCTTGGATGGAGATTAGCCAAGATCCGAGGACCGGCGCGCAACAAAAGGGCATTGTTTTTTGGACGAGAGTTCACAAAACATTCCATGAAAGGAAGATGTTTGAGCCCTTCCAAATTACAAGCAACCGTGGCATCGGTTCGATTCAGAAAAGATGGTTGTTCATCCAACAAGAGTGCAACAAGTATTGCGCCGCATTTGAGAGCGTTGAAGCACGGCCCGTGAGTGGTCTCGGCGTTGGGGACATGGTATGATCTCCTCTTTCTAGCCCTTTCCTTGCTACGGCCATGAGACTTTGGCCGTGTATATGTTTGCATGTTCACTTGTTGTTGATCATGTGGTGTAGGCATTCCAATCTTTGGAGGCATTCAAGGCCCGGCACAATGACAAGCCATTCACTCTTACGCATTGTTGGACGCTCATCAACATGTGCCCTAAGTTCAAGGACCAATACCGTGAACTACAAAGGAAGAGAGGACTGAAGACGGCCAAGTTCGCCGGAGGTGGAGATGGCGAGGCGTTGAAGAGGCCGAGGGGCAAGACCAACTCCAAGGTGGACGACATACGTGACGCCTCATCCATGGCCTTGCATGAGACTTTGCATGGCATGATGTCTCAAAAGGATGTGAGGGACGAGAAGAAGCGGAAAAGCAAGGACGAGCAAATGAAGCAATACCTAGACCTTCAAAGACAGAAGCTTGAGATGGAGGAGGCGGCCAAGAGGAGGAAGATCGACATGGAGGAGGCGGCCCGGCAAAGGCAGCTCGACATCGAGGCCGACAACGTCAAGGCCAGGCAGAGGCAGCTCGACATCGAGGCCACCAATGCCGCCACCAAAGCGAAGGAGGTGCCCCTTGCGATCATGAGCGTGGACTTGTCGAAGATGAGCGACAAGACGAGGGCCTGGTTCGAGGCCAGGCAGAAAGAGATGCTCGACGCCGAAGGCCTGAACTAGGTCGTCCGATCGGCGTGGCCGTTCTTTTTGAGGCTGGCATGGGTGCCACCCGTCCGCCCGTCGGGCCGCTGGTAGTGTGCCGGCAAGAAACCATTCATTTTGGAGGCCGGCTGTGTTGCCGGCCGCTGGCTGTGTTGCCGGCGAGGAGGACTATTCATTCTGGAGGCTGGCTGTGTTGCCGGCCGCTGGCTGATGCCGGCGATGGACGTGTAGGCCGCTGGCTCTGTTGCCGGCGTGATGAACCGGGGCCGCTGGCCTAAACTAGGGCTTGGCATTTGAAAACTAGACGCGGACAGGATGGGGCAAAATGGATGCGGCCTCGCGCTGGTCGCACGGCCACCGCATCCCAGGACAGGCCCGGACACGACCCCAAATCGCTACCCAAATGGACAGAATCCGAATAAAACAGACATTTGTTTGGGGTCGCGCGGTGAAGTTGGCCTTACAGCATGATGGATGGGCCGGACCAAGAGAAGAGGGGAACACAGAGCATAAAGGCGCAAAATACACGCGAATCCACACCGCGGAAGAAACCAAGGCGGCCACCCACTCGGAGGGAGCGCCCCCATCCCTTCGTTTTCCCGCAACAAAACTCCAGGTCCACCCCACCATGCGACGGGGAGCTGACCTCCCAATCCCATATCCCGCTACAACAACAACAACAACAGCAAGGCTCTCCAAGATTTATATAACCCGGAGTTCCCCTCGAACCCCAAACTCCACATGCAAATCAAAATCAAATCAAAATCGACCCATCCGCAAACCCACGCAGGCGCAAGCAAACCCAGCCGGCCGGACGCAAAGAGAACCCGATGTGCGTGCGGGCGTGTGTGCTGTGCGCGTAACATTTTTGGCCTTTTGCTCTTGCGGTCCAACCCACGTACGCGACGCTTTACTCTCTGGTGTGATGAGTGACCTATCCATCCATCCATCAGCTGCATTTAAGTAGCAGCGACCGACCCCTTTCTTCCACATCGCTCTGCTGCCCCCTCTCTCCCCGTCTTCCACTCTCCACTCCACCCTTTCTTCCGTCGCATGCTCTCCCACGTCGAGATGGCACCCGCCGGGGCCGGCGGCGGCTTCAAGCTGTTCGGCAAGGTCATCACGCAGTGCGTCGAGGGGACCCAGGCGTCGCCGTCGCCGTCGCCCGTGTTCGCCGCGCAGGACGAGGAGCGGCGGCTGCACGGCGAGACGGACCGGACGACGACGGCGGTCAAGCGGGAGGCGGCGGACATGGACTCGTCGCAGCAGCAGCAGCAGCAGGGAGCGGAGGCATCGCGGCGGACGCAGCTGCAGGAGTCGGCGGAGGCGCGCGCGGCCGCGGCGCCGCTGCCGTGCCCGCGGTGCCGGAGCCGGGAGACCAAGTTCTGCTACTTCAACAACTACAACGTGAACCAGCCGCGCCACTTCTGCAAGGCCTGCCACCGCTACTGGACGGCCGGCGGCGCGCTCCGCAACGTGCCCATCGGCGCCGGGCGCCGCAAGAACCGCCCGCTCGGCCCCATCGCCACCGTCGCCGGGCACCACCACCACCACCACCGCGCCGCCGCCGGCTTCGTCCTCGGCTTCCCCAGCCCCTCCTCCTCCCCCACCTCCCCACCGCCGGTGTACGCCGACCGGTGGCAGCTCGGGCCGGATGGCCGGTTCTGATCCCATCCCACCGACACAACCATTGATCGGCTCGTCTGTGGCCGAACCGGCCGCCCGGAAGACGAGGGTGGATAGAGTTTGGTTTGACCCGCAGAATCCTGAATTCCCGATGAGATGAGACGGGAAGGCTGGCTAGCTTGTACGTGAAGGCTCACACAAGACGTGGAAAAAGGAGGAGAATTCGAATGTCCCTTTACTTTTCTTTTCCTTCTTCCCTTTGCTATGCTAGCCTCCCTCTTGTTAATTCCTTACTACTGTAGTACGTAGTATTCCTAGCAGTTTGTTCGCACTTCTTTCTTCTTCTTGGGTTGGTCTGTCAGGATGCGTCGCCTGTGTAATGTAAAATGGAACAGATCAGGTTGCGCGGTAGTAGCAGCAAGTTGCGAGAAACTTGTCCCATTCCCATTGTGTATGAATGACGAGCATGCGTGAGCTTTCATGACTCCGATGAGTGTGATGCGATCCCATGCCATGCTTGTCCGCATCCATCTCCGTCTTGGAAGTGAGCGCTCATCAATCATCACCACCTCGCCCAAAGCCCCGAAGGATGATGATGGCCATCTTTCTTACGGGGAGCTGGTGGAGGAGGTGAAAGTGATTGGTGATGCCGTTTTGCTCTCTAGTAGTAGTAGTAAATCTGTGGTGATTGTACTCCCTCCGTTCGGAATTACTTGTCGTAAAAATGAATGTATCTAGATGTATTTTAGTTCTAGATACATCCATTTTCAAGACAAGTAATTTCGAACGGAGGGAGTACTTGCAAAAATGTACTCTACCACTCCTGCATGTACTGTTACATTATCGTCGCACGGATGCCGTCATATTGTGCTGCCTGCGGCCTTATAGGAGTATTAACTGGATGGAAGCCGTACAGCAAGAACGTGTTGTAGCTCGCGCAAGTAGAACATAGTATTACTTGCGCCAGTTTAATATCACTAGTACTACTAGTGCTATGGATCAACTGATTAATTACCGTAGCAGTACTTGTGAAGCTTGTTTAAATAATCCCCATGCATATGCGTGGGTTGTGCTGTAGCCTGATTCTCACGGTGGACAAAAGTGGGCGTTCCCACATTTACATTTCGGTAAACTGGGCAGGCACTTTTCACCACCATCCTTTTGGGAAGTTTCGTCACAAAGGGAAAGAGAAAGGGGCGTGGATGGAGATGGGCAGGCACCTGACTGGTGACTTATTACTACTCCTCATCAATGCACTGGGAAAAAGATAAAGGAGGCTTTTCCTAAAAGGACCGGGAGCCGGGAGGAGATACGTAATTATTCCAACTGTCAGCTTGTCAGGGTCAATGAGGGTGGGGCGCCTTCGCCTTTGAACAACAGTTCAGCCCCCACCCCGCTTTCGCAACTGCCTTTAATTGCTTGCAAAGTTACTTTATGTAGGAGCTCGCAAAGGCGTTTGGCTCCGTTTTTTTTACTCGCTTCTCGCTCGGTCGTCAGCATTGGAATGGTTGGGGGTTGGGACTGCGGCTCCGGCCGGGACCTTTTCGCTGCAGTGGCAGAGCTACTGACGTGTGTAGTGTAGTGTATACATAACATAGATGGCTAACCTAACCACAGCAGAGGGACCTCTCTGTGGCTCTGGGCTTTCAGCTTCATAATAAGAGCGGCTAATCAATGGAATGGTATGGTTTTGGAGCAGACCATCATCATGTTCCCTCCCACGAATAAATAGCGATGCGCCTATCGCTCGCGAAAAGAAAAGCTCTTTCAATGGTGACATGGAGCGAGCCATACGTGCGACACGACAACTACAGGCCCCCAACACCCGTACCCAGCGGTAGCACTAGTTGAGTATACTAGTCTTTCAGTTGTGCACACTATGCACTGTAAAAGGGGGGTTATTGGTACTTGAAGGAAAAAAACAGATGCCTGCCACTGCCAGGCAACAGCAAAGACGGGAGAAAGACGAAAATGAACAGAGTATGAGGAGACTTGGTCCAGAGCACCTTTTAATAAGAAAAGAAAAGAAAGGGAAAAGGAAGCAGCAGCAAGCAAGGAGCGATAATCCTGCAAGCTACACGTGCTCTGCTGCGCTGCGAAAAGGTGACAGCCAACCCAACCCAAAAGTGCACCAGCAGCATCAGCACGTGCGCTTTTCTTCTTTCCTTCCCGCAGTAAAGGGCCTGCAGAAAGGTTGGCGACGCGGGCGGTGAACTTCACCGGCCCAACGATCCAACATATCCGCTCGGCTCCGCCGCCTTCTCCTCCGCGCCCGCCCGCCCAGCAAACCGTCAGCTCGGCTGCTTTCGTGCGCGGGAAGACTAGACCATGCAGCATGTTTATCCTTTTCGTTTCTCATCGGCGACGCAGAAAAGAAGCAAGGGATGCCGACCGAGCCGGTTGCGTCCTCCGGGTGGGTTTCGTCGTCGGCGACATGTACGCCGGCGGCCGGCCCGTGACACGGAACGGAACCACGCGTCGCTTTTGCTTGCTGCTCTAGAGCTCCAGCGGTAATAAGCACGGATACTATGAGGAATCAATGGCGATCCTTGTTCATTAATCAGCTGCAGTGACAGCGAGCTAACCCGGCCGGGGGCCATGCCGGGGTTGCTTTCCCCTCCACAATTAAGTTGGCCAGAAGGAGCCCAGAAAGAGGATGCACGTAGGTTTCAGAAAAGCCATGGACCATGGTGGCGCCGATGGCTACGTCCGGATACAGTTAAATTGATGCGTGCCCCTCAGGTAACATCAGGTTCCAATTTCTCTTTGCCCAACTAAGATACCGTCGTTTAGCGACTACATGCGTTAATTATGGATGCGACGTTGAACTCATCGTGTGTGTAGGATGGGATGGAGCCTGCCGTCGAAATGTCTGAGAGTTTTATTCACTTGTGGCTAGAGATTTTGCTACTAGTAGGAGTACTTTTTATTTGTTTGATTGAGGTCAGGTGGTAGTATCACTGCTCACTGGATCTAGTCCCTTGTGGTCTTGGATGTTTAGGCTGGTCATAGTGGAGAGTAACTTAGACTAGTGTTATAGGCTGATCATGACACTAGTCTAAGTTACGCCTATAACACTAGTCTAAGTTACTGCCTTCATAATGCAAAGTAACATAATAGTAATATCATGGATGGCTTCATTTATTAACTTGTAGACTCATCTTGTTTCGGGAAGCGTTATGTTACAGTAACATACTCCCTCCTTTCTGGTTTATAAGACTTATCTCAACTTTTTTGTTTTTCCAATTTAGAGGACTCATCTCCATCTCATTTTTAGTTTTCAATGCGCATTAAATCTTTGCATGCAAGAATTGAAAAGGAACACACCAATGCATGTAATGTTCCTACTCATCTAGTGGCCAAGCATGCATGCACTGTAATTAATCCAAATTAATGCATGAGTTTAATTGGGTAGTTTTGTAATGTACGAGATACATTCCTCCACTCACAAAATACCTTGATTGATGAGATTTGAGATTTGAGCCCTATAAACCGGAAGGGAGGGAGTATTATGTTACCACCTCTCATTAACTAATTGCCACGTAAGAATTTTTTTTTTAAATGCGCTATGTTACTACCTAAGTTACTTTCACTATGACTAGCCTTATTAGCGCAGACATGGGCACCGGATATATGGATATAATAAAAGCTTTGTGTTTCTTTCAACTGGTACCGACGGCCGGCCGGCCGGCAAGGGGATCCGTTGTGGAACTCAAAAGAAGATAGCAAAAGCATAAGAGCATCTCCAGCCGCTCCCCTAACAGGCCTTTCCAAATGTTTTTTCCGCGTCGGCGCCAAAAAATGGTCCAGTCACGTCCTCAGGACGCCGAATTCCGCCGGCTCGGCCCGTTTTTGCGTCCGGCTATCGCAGGTCGAACCTGGCGCACTGGGGGGAGGGGGGCGCTCGGGGGCTCCGGAGCAAGGGTAAAGCGCTCCTGGGGCCACATTGTCAAGCGAAAAGTCAGGCCGTCCGTCCAAATTCGCCTCCGACCCCCCGCACTCGGGCACCACCCTGCGCCACCCTGTCGATCCCGGCGTCGTCCACCGCCCACCGCAGCTAGTTAGATCATTTCCCGCCGGAAAAAAGAAGGGGTTTTGCCGAGGCAGCCTCTTCGCCGCCGTCTGGGCACCTTTTCCGGCATTCCGGCCGCGCAGGGCCTGTACACCGGCGGGTTTGTTGCCCAAGTTGATCACCAGCTACTGGCAAACTGGACTAACTACCTCAATATGCGTCCGGAGATCCGAGACCCACAGGTGCATCAAGAACTGCAACACGATCTGGTGGAGCACCTATGGAGGCTCAAGGGCGAGGCCGGGGCGATGCGGGAATATCGTGAGATGAAACTTGAGTTTTTATTTGTCAAACTATATAATTTATTGAACTATTTGTTGAACTGTTTGATTTATGTGATGAAACATGCCGAAACACACCAAACTATGCCGAACTATGTGACGAACTAATTGATTTCTATTTGTATGCGAAAATTCACGCCAAAGGACGCCGAACCGCGCCGAATATGGACCGATTCTCGCAGATATCGGGCCTTTTTGGACACAATTGATCCGAACACTGGGCCAAAATCGGCGCCTAACGGCAACCTGGGGGACGACGGCTGGGTGCCCAACCGCCCCAGCACCAACTTTACCGCCAGCTGACCCCGGGCTGCTCTTTTTCAACGCCTTGAAGTCCGAACGGCTGAAGATGACTGGAGAGAAGGGCAGAAATCACATATTTGATCTGAGACCCAAATCAAATCACAAACTAACCTGGTCATGAAAAAATTTCACTCTGCCGACCCTTTGGTGTGGCGCCCGACAGCTGGGCGCCGCACCCTACTGTGCAGCGCCCTTCCTTCAGGCGTCGCACCTCCTGCCATCGTGGCAGCCCTGGTCCAGTTGCGGCCCCACACGCACCTGTGCAGCGCCTAGCCCTTAAGCGCTGCACAGTGACTTAAGCGCGGCCGCCCCAGCCCGACCAGGCAGTTCTTCATCGCTCCGCTCTCTGGACAGAGAGCAGCGGCGGCGTCCCCATCTAATCCCCC